AGGCACCCACCTCTGGGGGGGAACAGCCACATATAACGCAGCTCGGGGGGGCTGCGGCTGGCTCTTGGGGGCTCTCACCTGGGCCCGCGGCCCGGGGGGCAGGGGGGGCAGGCGGGAGAAGCGCCGGTCAAAGATGCAACAGTGCAGGTGCCCATCCAGTGTCCGCAGCTCTTCGTAGCTCCGCCGCACCCGCCATGTCCGGCCCTGGGGGAGAACCCAGGTGTCCGGGATGGGAAGACCCCAGAAGAAACCCAGGAGTCCACGACACATGCCCCTCCACTCACCTGGCAGGTGACCTGGATGACAAAAAGGGGGTCCTCGTCCCCTGGGGCCTCTTCCCCCTGCTCCAGTGACAGCTGTGGGGAGACACCCCCGCACCACCACCATGAGCCAGGTGGACCCAGGTGTCCAGGTGTGGGGAACCCAGGCATCTGGGACAAGGTGGGAGGGGGTCTCACCTGGATGTTCCCAAAGTCGACAGCCTCATAGTGGAAGTGGGCACACTCTGCCAGCTTGGGGAAGTGGCTCTGGGCGGCCGACAGCCTGGGGAGGGGGGAAGAGAGTGAGGAGACCCCCACAGCCCCCTCAACCCTCCCTTCCCAAGCCCACCACAGAGACTCCCCAGGGGACCCAGCTGGGGGGCAGCTGGAGCGCTCGCATTGGGCCCCTGGCCTCCTAGACCCCGCCACCGGGCATAAGGGACCCAGGTGTCTGGGTCAGAAAGGACCCAACGGGTCCCAGCTGGAAAGGGCCCAGGCATCTGGGCTATGCAAGACCCAGGCACCCAGGCTGGAAATGACTCAGACCCGGAAGGACCCAGGCAACCGAAACAGGAGGAACCCAGGCTTCTGGGCTGAGAGGGACCCAATAACCCCCAAATGCAGCCAGCTCTGGGATGTAACAGGCCTTGACAGCTGCACAGAAAAACCCCAAATTAGGGCCCCTGGACCCCCTCACCTTTTGCCTGGCTTGCCCTTGAGGCCAGGGGTTGTGGTCCCGGGCGGCCGCTGGGTCCCATCTCCCGGCTGGTCCAGGTTGTCGGTGCTTCGGGCCTAGGAGGGAAACCAAGGCAGGTGGGAGGGCTTCAGTATGGTCCCCCGCAAGGGACTTGTCCTAGCCCCAAAGTGCAGTCACCTCTGGGGTGGAGCAGGGCTGCAACGGCTGCATATAACGCCCCATGTTGATATCACCCTAGCAAACAAATGCAGCTGACTCTGGGGTACAAGCCCTGACAGCTGCATAAAACACCCCAACAGGCCTCTTTCAGAACTCAACTGCAGCTGGCTCTGGGGTGAAACAGGCCCTAATGAATACATAGAACAACCCAAGAGAAAACCCTGGCTAGCCTGCAAATGGAGCCAGCACTGGGGTGGAGCAGGGTGCTGATGGCTGCATAAAACATCCTAAGGGAACATTCCCTTACCCCAAAATGCAGCCAGCTCTGGAGTATAACAGGGCCCTGATGGCTGCGTATAACACCCTAATAAAACATACCAGTGGCAAACAAATGCAGCCAGCTCTGGGGTGCAACAAGCCCTAACTGCTGCATGTAACAGCCTAAAGGGCCTCTCCTTTGCAGCTATCTCTGGGGTGGAACAAGCCTCAGTGGCTGCATATAACCTCCTCCCCAAGAGAACATCTTTCAAGCTCACAAATGCAGCCAGCTCTGGAGTACAACAGAGCCCTGATGGCTGCATATAACACCCCATGATGATATCCCTTTAGCAAACACATGCAGCCAGCTCTGGGGTGGAACAAGCCCTGACGGCCATACGAAACACCCCAAAGGGCTTTCTCTTAGCACCTGTATGAAGCCAGGTCTAGAGTGGAACACACCTATGACAGCAATATAGAACACTCCAAGGGGACACCCAAACTAGCCCCCAAATGCAGCCAGGGAAGGGGGAAGGGAGGAGCAGCCCCTGATGGCTGCATGTAACACACCACAGTGCCAGCCCCCTAGCAAACAAAGGCAGCTGACTCTGGGGTGGAACAAGCCCTTATGGCCACATATAACACCCCAGAGGGCCTCTCCTAGCATCCAAATGCATCCAGCTCTCCAGTGCAACAGGGCCCTGATGGCTGCAAATAACACTCCATGATGACACCCCCCTGGCAAACGCATACAGCCAGCTCTGGGGTGCAACGGGCCCCTGTCAGCCACATAAAACACCACAATTACATCCCTCTAGCCCCTAAATGTAGCCAGCTCTGGGGTGCAACAGGCTGCATAGAACATTCTAAGGGAAAACCATTTAGCAAATGAATGCAGCTGGCTCTGGGGTGGAACAGGCCTCAATGGCTGCATATAACACCCCCCTCCGCTCCAAAGGAATACTCCCTAGCAAACAAATGCAGCCAGCTCTGGGGTGGAGGTCTACGATGGCTGCATATAATGCCCCAAGAGGAGCCTTTGCCCGGCCCTGGGTTGTGATCAGCTCTGGGGTGGAACAGGACCATGATGGTTGCATAGAACATTCCAAAAGAACACACCTAGCCCCAAATGCAGCCAGCTCTGGGGTGCAACAGGACCCTGACAGCTGCATATAACACCCCAAGGGAACACCCCCCCCCTCCAGCAAACAAATGCAACCAGCTCTGGGGTGGACCAGGGCCCTTAGGGTTTCGTATAACACCCCAAGAGACCTCTCCTAGCCCCCAAATGCAGCCAGCGCTAGGGTGGAACAGGGCCCTGACAGCTACATTTAACACGCCATGATGACATCCCCCAGGCAAACACATGTAGCCAGCTTTGGGGCGGAACAGGTCTGTGAAAACTGCATAGGATGAAAGCCTTTGCCCAGCACTGGGATGTGATCAGCTCTGGAGAGGAACAAGTCCATGATGGCTGCATAGAACACCCCAAGAGGTCAGTCCCTAGCCCCAAATATACAGATATAACCTTCCACGACATCCCCCTAGCAAACACATGCAGCCAGCTCTGGGGTGCAGCAGGGCACTGACAGCTGCATATAAAACCCCATAGTGACATCCCCTAGCCCTCAAATGCAGCCAGCGCTGGGGTGGAGCAGGCCCCTACGGGTACATAGAACACTCCCCCTGCACCCCCCCTCCCCCTGCCGGGTGTAACCTCATCTCCCACAAGGGCATCAAGTGGCCCATAAATAATTCACCCCACTTCCACAGCCCCCCCCATCAAGCCTGGATTGGGCCCCACCTCCATGAGGGGGAGGGGGTGGTTATTTCAGGCTCCCTCCTGCCCCAGATGCTGCTGGGGGGGGGGGGCAGGCAGACAGCCACCCTCCAGGTACAGGAAGGTCTGAGAGGAAGGGGATCTGGCATGGGGCAGAGGGGATCTAGGGGGGTAGGGAAGCCATGGTGGGGCAGAGGCAACTGGGGGATCTAGGAGGATCTGGGGTGACCTAGGGTGTTTAAGGGGGAGTAGGGGGGGATCTGGGGGAGTTGAGAGATCTAGGCGATTTAAGGGGATCGGAGGCAGTTAGAGGGGATCTAGGGGGTTGGGGTGTAAGGGGACTGGGGGATCCTAGGGGATCTAAGGGGTTTGGGGGGGTCTAAGGACTTTAGGGGGCTCTGAGCAGATCTAAGGGGCCTAGGGGGCTCCAATAAGATCCAGGGGATCAGGGGTGTTAGGGGAATCTAGGGCCATTAGGAGGCTCTGAGTAGATCTAGGGGATCTTGGGGAGATCTGGAGGGTTTAGGGGAGTCTGAGCAGATCTAGGAAGATCTAGGGGGTTTAGGGGTACAGGGGGAAACCTGGTGGGTTTAGAGGGAGCTGACAGGATCTAGGGTGATTTAAGGGCTGGGGGCCTCAGGGGACCTAGGGGGTTTAGGGGCTGGGGAGG